CGAACCATCGCGAATTCGAGTTTATTGTTCCGTTTGGACGTGCAGTTAGGACACTTCTCCTTTTCACATGCACTAAGGGCTAATGATTGGGATCGTTAAACAAAACACGATAATAAGTGATAAAGCCCGATAAAATAGTTTAGGCCACCTCATTAGAACAAGGACTAGTATGAAAATTTTTGTTTTCTTACTTTTTTCCCACATGCCCTTGACTGTACCTGGGCAATTGTGAGCTTGCTATTTTTGAATGAGAATATCAAAGGCAAGTAGGACTCACAGCTACATGGAAATCATCAATATGCATAGAGACTTGGTCGGGTTCGGTAACTGAATCACAAACGCCATAGAAGACGTTTGGAGTGGTGAGATGGATTGCCCTGCGGTGAAGATTTTCTAGTCTATGACCAAATTTTACTTAGTTGTACAAACCTGATCGGATTTTTGAAATTATGAGATCGATTTCGGGTCTCACAAATGGTTTCGGCAGGTAGCGATCCATCCTCCGAATAGATGAGAAGGTATAGAGATGGTGTATCACTGAAAATTATTTTGTTTTGAAAAAAAAATTTGAAAGCTTGTCCTGAACCCCACGGACTACGGCCTCAGAAGTTTGGCTCCCGGAAATGTCAGTAAAGAGTTCAAAAGCCACATGGTGAGACTGACTGAGCTCGATGGACTAAGTTTCAATTGGCTGAGAACTCGAAAGGGAATCATTTGTCCCTATAAATCTGGGTAGAATGAGGCTAACCCATTGGCTCAAGCAGAAGTGTGAAGCAGGGTCATACACAGTGGGGTGATCATCTTGATGAAGCTCTTCCCCTATCGCCTTCCCGGGCGACGAAAGGTGTGGAGTTGGTTGAAAGGGGAGGAGGAGGACAGTAGTGGGTGGAGTGGGAAAGGCCTGAGAGGTACAGCAAAAGTGAATTACTTCAGCGCATGACTGGTAAGCTTATTATGAAAAAAAAACATTTTGGCTTTGTAGCAATCCTGGCGACAGTCTGAAAAATCGCTGAGAAAGAACTTTGTTGACTTCCCAATACGACAGACCCTGGACGGAGCGTCATCATTTAGGCTTAACAGAGTCTATGTATTTCGCTCCTTTCTCATATTCACGTCGAACCCAGAAGGCTAGGAGCATGTCAATGGTCTACGGGCTCATTCATTAAGATTTTTTCGATATTCAAGGTGTCTCAGTATACATGGGTAATCTATGTTTGACCTGATTCTGTACCTGACCGATACGGACGAATGCTTCAGTGGAGGAAGTAGCAGCTGTGGGAGGGCAATTCGTCAAAATTACTTTGAAACAGGATCAAGCAGAGCGGTTGGTTCTTGTGTGAATAGCTTTCAAAAGGGATCTCTTCAATATCCATAGGGTTGAAGGCTTTATGCAAGGAGCACAGTCCATGCGGCTGATCACCTAGGCAACTGCTAAGGTAAATTTTTATCAAGTAATCAGCAGAGAACTATCAGAACATATTTTAAATGACTTATAAAGAGCATAGTGATCTCATCAATCCTTAAGGAAGGAGGGACGGTCTTTGAACATTGTGGGTCCTTGTGTGAACAGCTCTTAAAAGGGATCTTTTTAATACCTATAGGGGCCAAAAGAGGACCTTGAAGGGACCATAAGGGACCCATAGGTACCTTGAAGGGAAGAGACCAAAAGATCGAAAACGTTGCCAGTAAGAACTAACCCTGCAAGTGTCGAGTTGTAGTAGACGATGGAAGCAATCTGTGCCTCCCGTTCCGACTTCCGTTCAAGGTCTCTAATTTCTACCATACGTCGTATTTTACCGAATAATACATTCAAAGACATACAGCATGCACAGAAAATAAACACCACCATGGCACGGTCGTGAGTTCGCGTCCATCTCATACCGATATTCACCTTACAGAACCTTTTCTATAGAAAAATTCATTTAATTTCGCGAATTCAACTTCCAGGGGTGAAAAAAATAAAAATAAATAATCACGCAAGGTTTTTAAGAGACGAAAGAAGGAAAGGAAATGTAGGCGTGTTCAGAAGAAGGTGTTTAGAGCAATTCAACAGAGTAATGGGATGTTCTGTTTCGGACCGGAATAGGCTACTAGCAAACAGTGGAACAAAGTTGTATCCTAATTATTGCTTTGCATGTGTTTATGGGATTATGTATGGGAGACGGTGGGGGCGAATTTGGAAGTTCCAAGCAATCGAACGAACGATCGCATGTGGGTAATCTGCGACGGCGATCTGTGCTTCCATGATCGCCAGCGAATGTCCCGATACATTCTGCATCCAAATGCATCATGTGTCGCTTCCCTACGCCTCTGCTTTTTTTATTTTAAAAAATCCTACTTTACCTAAACTTTTTAGGTTGTGCCAGCCTCGAAAAAGCCGTGGTAAAGTGAGCCCTGTAGCAAGTGTTTTCCGGAGTTATCTCATGAGACCTTGTCCTTTTTTGTAAGCTTGACGTGGCTCCTCACGCATATGTCGAAGTACTTCTGATGGTACAGGGTACTAGTGGCGTCGTGGCACGTGGCGCACTACGCACACAACCGGTCACGGGCTCGAATCCCGGATCGGTAACCGCGTAAACCAACCAAGTCCTACATCCTTTCGGGGTCGGTACTCATCTAGAAGGATAAAAGCACTGACTTGTACATCGGCTGTCCATCCCAAGTCATTGTATACGCCACATACAATTGACTGNGACAGTGCTCCTCACGCATATGTTGAAGTATTTCTGATGGTACAGGGTACTAGTGGCGTAGTGGCACGTGGCGCACTACGCACACAACCGGTCACGGGTTCGAATCCCGATTCGGTATTCGCCTAGACCATCCGAGTCTTTCATCCTTTCCGGGTCGGTACTCATCTAGGATGATAAGGGCTCTGATTGTACATCGGCTGTCCATCCCAAGTCATTGTATACGCCACATACAATTGATCGATTACGGCTGAAGACTTTGTCTCTTTACAGAGTACTGGTGGATGTTGCCTACCGGTAATTAGCCGAGAGGCAGATAGGGTAGATGCGATGATTTTTTCAATTCTTGAGAGATTTGGCAAATGCAATGCTCTCAACAAAATATGAGAACGCTTCATTTTTACTGTTGAGATGATGATTCATTGGTTACATTTTTTCGCTAAACTTTTGAACTTTTTCGGGGCAGCACAGTAAGCACAGCGATTTTCAATGTTTTCTACTGTTTTCCCATCCGCCTGCTTAACATTTATGACTCAGTCAGTAGTGTTTACAATGACACAGCTGGGAGTTACTTTTTGAACCTTGACAAACTCTTTGTCACAGATACTGTAGGCGATTTTCGATCCGTCACGACCCTCTCAACCTTACTCTGAATGGCTCCTCTCCAAGGGGACGGAGGTGGTGTAGTGGCGAGAGCACATGGGTTGCTGATTGAACAAGGGTCGAGATAAGCCCAGGATCCGAGCCGGAGCCAGGCTCAGTGAAAGGATAAATGACTAACTTGTACATCGGCTGGCCACCGCTAGTCATTCTATAGGCCCATAAGCATTCAATACGCCACTTCTATCCTGAATAAAAGTCGAATGCGCGGCGCATGCTATTGACAGAATTAATTAAGGCCAAGAGGGTTCATCTTTTCCTGTACAGCTCCTCTATCCTGAAAATCCCTCTAGGAATAACCCGTGATGTTTGGATCTTCTTAAAAATTACAGTAATCGAATGAAAAAACCGTTTTATCATTGTGAATCACAATATTGCAAGTAATGCACATACTCTGGGTGCCAGCCGAACAACGACGACTGGATCACATCATATGGAATTGAAAATTATTGCTTAGAACAATTCCAACTATTTCAAATCCAATTGTCCTATAGCATTATTAAATCAATTCACAAAATATTTAGTAAAAACGTCAGCACTTTATGTACAGAAAATCGGCGATTCCAAGGCTCAACGATGGTGACGATGATGATGGCGACGACGATTTTACAATTTTGGAGCATGGCGAGACTTTCTGCGGAAGTAACAACACACCATGCACTAAAATTACTACTTTACTGCTTTGAAATTACTTGAAAAATCAATATTTTCAATCTAGACAGAGCCGTTTTCGCATATGGTACCCCAACCGTTGAACACTGTACCCACCTGGTTCCCAGCATTCTGTCCAACTTGGCAAACAGATTGTCCGGGACATTGATAATTCTGGTTACAAGATCCAATCTGTACTCCACCGGAACATGAACATTGAGCTTGTGAACTTGCTGCGGGCACGTATGGAGCTGGTAGGGCACCCGGTGCTCCTTGGCTACTCCAGACACAGATCTGAAAGGTATAATGGTTATCCTATGGACAGGCACTAGAGAGGCAAATTGTTCAGTACCTGAGCCTGTACGTCGAATGTGGTCGAGGGAGCACATGGCATACGTTGCCAACGTCCACAGAACAAATTATTAGGTGCCGGTTGACATTGTAAATAGTGGGATCGTGACTGAGGATCAGTCGCCAACGGGTCAACCATCCACGAGCAGATGCCCTGGTACTGCGCCGTTTGAATTCCTCCTTGGACTGAAAGGCAAAATAATAATCCAAAGATTTACTTCATGATCAAAACATCAGATTCGACCCCTGGCATGGAGAATTAGGGGTTATTCAGCTCAACCACAATCCGCACTCCTAGTTTTTTTTTTCAATTTTCCCTCCCCACCTTCTCAAAATCCTTCTCAGTGGGGTGAAAATAGTGCCACTGCGACGGAGTCTATTTCAAGAGGGGTCACTGATAAGTTGGAGATTTTACTCGTGGTACCTGCCTAAAGAGTCAATTCCTTGTTTTGTAAAAGAAGGGGAGCACTCTGACGTGATCTCTTAGGCGGCACCTCTTGGGACACTTTTTTTAGAAAGGAAATAAAGTCGGTCAGAAATGTAGACTTACCAAGAGGACAGGCCTGAGGCTGTACAATAGCGGGCTGTTGCTGTGGGCAATACTGTTGCTGAGTGGTCGTTGTTTGGCAGTTCTGGAAATCATCTGTGATAATGTAGTTGAAAAGGAAATATGCGTCTTGAAATGTTCGCATCAGTTTGGGAGATTCTTAGTCAAATTTGGAAGTGAAGACAAGATTCCAAGATCTCCTCCCACATGGTTTTTCGTTACATGGCTTGAACATTCTTTTTCTACTGCTCTACCGGAGTCATATCACCAGGTGAAACTACGGCTACTTGTAGAACCCACCAAATCTGTTCACGTTCCCTTATCACGTAGGTGCCACCTCCGGTAACAGTATAATAACCCAATCAGCGGAACCATCCTATCGAAGACGTATTCCCGAAGACATAAATGATTTCTGTGGCGAAGTCCAGACACCCTTTCGCTCTTACTTGATGAAGGGAGGCCAACCTATGATGATCACTGGTTGATTGTCTCGGACCATGCTTACAATGGTAGGGCTCAGTGAGCCATGGGACTTTGAAGACAGACACGGCGTATATAGCTAACACGATTCGCTAAGTATAAACACAGGCAGGGCATGCCTTCAACCACGGCAATCTCAAACTTTGGCATGCTTATTGAATCCAAATTATGAATGTTTCGAGTTTTCTAAAATAAATGATTCAAAAACTTTGGGTATTGATTCACACAATACAAAATGTGGTCAGTTCCGAGAGAGAGGAGGAAAATGATGGAGGTTCAGACTCTTGACTACAGAAGCCCACAGTCTTCCAGTATGTTCAGCAGCAGATATGTTCAACTGATGATAGACAGACTCTTTAGGAGAATTTAGGAGAACTTATGGGTCTCTAAATTCAGTCTTGCTCCATTTTTGATTTTAATTATCGAAAATGTAAATTACAGACCACTGGTGGGGCTACACATTGGCATGGCGTCTGAGAAGTTTGTGGGCAACAGTTGAGTGAAAGCAGGATCTGAAAAACAAGTCACGGGTAGCTGGAAGTCGTCCNTTTGTCGACACACACGTACAAGCTGGCTGAGCTGTAGGACATGGACATGCCGGGTATGAAGAGAACTGGATTGGCTGCGAAAAGAAGAAAAACATTTGCGACTTGCTCTATCGTTTGTTAAACTAGCTCAGCGCACAAATAATTCGTTCAGTTACCGAAGTAGTAAGTGGAGAACGACGAGCTTTGTCCGAGTTGACCGGCATGACTACTGGCTCAAGAATTTCCGGACTTGGACATACACAGTTTTCCTCACCATTTGGACAAGTGCATTGGCGTGGAGCTTCACGAACTTCTTCCACAAGGAACTGAAAGTTTATAGTAATGATATCCAAACAAATAGGGTGGCCATTGCCCCTGGCTCGTCTACTCTGATAGGCTTCGCTAGCAATGTCTTCCCATAAAGCTCTCCTATCTGAGATTTGCACCCACAACGACTGATTTGTTTTTATTATTTCTAGAAAAGTCTCGTTACTCAAGGTAGCAAGTGGGAAAGCTGTATTCCCTGAGTCAGTTCCGAAGGAATGGAATCGAAGTTAGTCTCCAATGATAACTCCAGAAGTAAACAAATTCAAGCTTCCAACTGCCCAATCAGGGCGGCTGCATGGAGTTGCAGGCTTACGTCATAACATCAGCGCGCTAAAAGCGCTCCACACTACATTTCCGTGACATACACTAAGCCCACACATGACGGTTATGATGGAAAGTGAAAAGTGTGCTCGAGGAACCATGTAGAATGATCCCCTTTTCTTATGCAAATAGTCTGTCCTAAAGGAATTTGAAAGTTGTACCGAACTCTCCTGAGAGGATTAATGTCGTGGTGGATATTCCCTCCCTCTACTCAAAATAAATATCTAACATACAGCTCAATTCGGCTGAATTCCATCCATAATTTGGATTTGAAACAGCTCCTAAACATACTCGTATACGAATCGAATATAGATAAAATTTAGAATGAAAAATGATTCATAATTAAAATAGAGTGTCAGCTCCATAGTAATTCCATGAGAGAAAGAGAACCCATGCATAATGAAGGAAATTCGAATGCTATCAGACGTTTGGGAAAGGAAATAAACTAGTGTATCGATCGCTCTCGACATTGTCTTTAAAATATATACCCCTAAGCCGATCCCTTCCTTAGCCGTGGGCCCTAGGGTCTATAAAAATTTCAGTTCCGTAGGCAGTTACGATGAGAAAGGCCTTCGAGAAATTAAAAATCACGTAGTCTCATCGGTCATTAACTTGACGCTCGTCAGTGGATCAATGTTTCCAGCTGACTGGATTCTGGTGGACCACCACCTGGGCGTCGGCCTAATGATCACTCCTGTTTAAACGAGCTCTTGAAAAAACCATTTCAAGTTTTCTCAAGGGCTCAGGGCTCTCGTGATACGTGTCCAGCGAGAAGCAGATAGTTCACCGGTCCGAGCACCGAGCTCGTAGGATACCCAGGATTCGCAGATCGAAAATCAGCAATTCATGAACGCAGGTATCAGATAGAAGGAGGAAGTCTAAAAGGTCGGGAGGAAGCTACCGAATAGGAGTAGCCAAGGGAGGTCGGGGGCAATGACGGACTTGTATGAAGTTACTGTAGTTGTAAATTAGCTACAAACTGTAAACCCTTGACAAATAGTTAACATCTGGGAAGGCTGAAGCCATCTAGTATTCGGCCGATGAAGACAGTCCCATACTGTATGGAATGTGCTATTCAAGAACTGCCTTCTGGGAGAATTATAAATTTTAGTTGAAACAGGAAATTCCCGAAAATCTCAATTTTGTCGATTCTCGTTCGTAAACGATTCCCCCTGTCTGCAAATGAGAAAATCCTCTTGCAAATTGGCGTCTTTGTGTTTGACCCTGTACACGACGAATTCCCCTCCTCCGCCTTTAGAAATCTGCCTGTTTTGATTTGGGTAGAAACACCAATTTACTGAACAACTAACAATTCCCAAATAACGACCCCAAGTCTCACCCAAGACGAGTACTGATAGAAAGAAAGTGCAAATGTTGTTCAATGAGTAAACAAATTCTGAAAAATCAGCTGCTTCCATTAAAGGGTTTTTTGAATGTTGTACTTATCGTGAAATCACATGTGAGGCAAATTTCCAAATTCCTCAGATGGGAATTCTCCCGTAGATGATTCCAAAGGTTTGCCTACGAAAATTTTGAATACATTTTTTCTCAAAAAGTAATCCAGGAAGAATCTCAGAAAAAAATGGGAAGAGAGTGCCAAAAGTAATAGATCTTGTAAACTGACCTCAGTACTGTTGGTCGAAGGGCAGAATTGGTACATGGTCGAGTTGCTCGACCCGCACAGTTCTTGTTGTCTTTTCACCGAACGAACTGTCTTACAGCGTCGAGCCGAAGCGACAAATTCAAAGCCAGGAAGACATTCTCTGAGCAACCAAATGCCCAGATCTTTTCTGCAACATCCATTTTTTGTCGGTATTGTCAATCGAATTGAAAAGAAGAAGTTCTGTTCTGTTTTCCTTGGAAAAAACCGCTAGGAAAACCAGTGCTGTTTATTCGGGTATTCTTGCGAGTGCTGCTCGGAAACAAGTGCAAACAATTGCAGGCAGATGGGGGAAGGAGGATGAATTCCACTGTGACCGGCTCGAAATAACCCCCTCTTGTTCCACATCCCCTAATGTTAGGAACGCCCCTAACCGGGTGGTTAATCCCCGAGAACTCTCAGGTGTTTCATTTGCTTCGCAAAAAGCGTCACCAATCGGTGGGTGGTCATCAAGTGTAGCCGGCGGATAGCCGGCGGACACTTGAGATGTTTAGAAGTGGGGGAAATAAAGAGCGAATTCACGGGGTGGATGGATGTGGGCGATGGAGAATAGGGATGGGACACAGGAGAGGATCATCACCAGGAGGATCCGCTTACCGATCAGCTGCTAAAGAACTTTGACGAACACATTCCACATATCGGTGAGGATCGCCGGTCGCTCGTGGAAACGAAGGAAGCTGGCAAATGTCACCGAGAATCGCTCGCCAATACTGTGGGGTTTCCTCGCCGGACTTTACATCCGAGCATTGAATAACTGCTGGAGCAATAAAAAATCTTTAAAATTACAGTACCACGACTTTTAAAAATACAAAATCATAAAGATAAAATGAAAATAATACAAGAAATAAGTAAAGTTATACAAGTGAAACCAGGTATTAAACCCTGTATTTTATTACCTGCACAGCAGGAAATGGCCAATACAAGTCGTTGCATGTGCTTCAGGGTGAGGAGGATATTGGTGACGGTGTGTTGGGGACCATTATATACCACACTCCGCCCTCGCTTCAACCGGATCATCCGTCCTTTTTCGCTGCCACCGTTACGATTCGTTGTGAACGCCCCTGATGACGGTCCCGAGTGGCGGCCAGACACTTCCGTTCCTCCGCCCCTGGAGGCGCCTACGGGAGGAGAGACACATAGCACAGGGACAAGCCGATGATTGTCGCTTACTCATCACCCATTCCACCACGAAACACCAGAACAACGATACATGTCCCATGCACTTGAAACAGTCCAAAAAAGAGTTCAGAAAGAAATTTTCGCACAGAAACATGGGATAAGTGGGACAAGTGGCGCCGGCTGCTTTTCATGTTTCTGAGTGTACTGAGAACCTGTACCGTCTAAGTGACAGTATTTGAAAATGATGATGATGACAGTATTGTTTGCCATCTAAATATTTGTTACATGATGAGGATCAAAAGGCCTCGTGATTTAAAGGGCCAGAAACCGTGCTCACACTCTGGAAAGTTCTTCGAGAACATCCAGACCAACGGCAGTTCATGGAGCTCTGAGGTAAGAGTATGACTCCTTCAAAGATGTAAATGACTGGTAGTACTGCCTATATTCAAAAACCTCGACCTGATGGGTGGAAATTATTCAAAAATGAAATGACAATGTAGAACGCAATGTAAAACTCCCCAATGATGCTGTCTCCGCTTACCATTACTGTACTATGCACAGGTTCTCTGGGCACGAAGGGTTTTGGGTCCGCTAGTTAAGCCGAACTTAGAAAAAATTTTCGTTAATCCAGTAAATAAAGGGTGAAGATTCATTGGCTCCGAGCCTAACTCACAATTGTTATTGAATTGGGAGGAAGGGAGATAGAAGCACAAGAATACCTTTCCCAACTCGACATCACGTTTGACTCGGAGTATGGTTCGCTCATACGAATGTCGCCCTTGAGGCCTATTCCTAAGGTAAAGAAGTATTATATCTTCGAAAATTAGGAATTCTCCGAAAGGATTTCCAAAACTTTCTAGTTTGTTTCCCTTTATATGGATGCCTTCACTTTTCTGAGTGGAAAAAGAAAAAGTTTGTTATTCCAATCGAATTATCGATTCATAAAATCGAACTCGATGTAGTTATACAGTAACCTGTAGGGGACTGGGAACGAAGAGGTGCTCGACTTCCCAGGCCATCGAAAACTGGCTATTCACTAAATAGACGACATTTCTCCATTTTCATGTCCCGTTTTTGAACTACACTTTCGTTCTTACTTCAAATTATTAATTTTTACTTTGTTCCTCTTTTGCTTTCTCTCATCTCCTTCTCTATCCTGACGGTGTGAGATAAATCAATCAAGTAAGTTGTTGCTAGTTATTCTATCAAAAGTGCACGTCGTAGCCTAAAAATGAGGCAATAGTTCCTTTTAGAGTCCCATTGAGAAATAATCCATGCGGGTGTGATGACCCGCCAAGGCGATTGCAGGTGCTCATTCCGGTCTTTGAACGAGAAGCATCAACGAGCACATTCCAGCTGCTCTTGCTTGGAATGCGGCGAGGCACTGCTGCTGTGGTCGGACCGTTCGGATCTTCTTTTAAGATATGGAAAGACGCCTAACCACGTACTTTCGTGAATTCTTCTAAAAACATCAGTCGGTATTTACTTCGTCAATTACAGTGTGAAGAATAGTCACTGAAGCACGCTATTGCCTTAATGTGTCAAAATGGTAACAATCAGTACTGGTTATACCGTAGTGAATGAAATTTATCTCAAGCTAAGCCCAAGGGATTAGTTAAACCCCCCAAAGCTCAGTGCAGGACCGTTTGCCTTATTGCAGATGCAAGAAGATCCTTTCGGACCCAGTTGCTCGAATAACTTTCCTATCACAGGTAATTATTTCAGATTCTAAGCCCAGGGTTACCTTATGATCAAAGATTACGGTACCCGGAGTTGATCGAGACTGCTTCCGCTGAACTCTGATAAGTAGGTGTGACTGGTAATCCTGATCTAAAGTAATTGACATTCATTTCCGCGCTGGCGTCACTCGGCGCCGGTTTGACGCCATGGCTTTTTTCCAGTGAATCCATTAATTCTGAATTTTCATTTAAGAACCCAAATGACTCAAATAGCTGTTTTTATACTGAAAATATTTACAATGTCAAAAAAAGTTGTGGACTGACTTGGTGTCGGAAATGAAGAGAATAGTAGAGACCTTATTTTTAACGCTCTATTTTTTATTATTTAAAATTTGATTTTTTCTATTCCAATAACCAAGGTTGCAAATGGAGGACGCAGGTTTCATGATTTTTCTTTCTTTTTTTCAACTTTCCGTGCCCTCAGCATGCAGGCTAACAGATTCAAGAGTGTGCACGCCAATGGGATTTTTTACCCAAGCGAGTCCAGTAACCGTTTATAGATATTGGACTGTTAGAGGGTTCTGGGCAAGCGGGTCCAGTACCCGATCATAGATCTTGAACTAATAGAGGAGTCTTGGGTTTCTGGTTTAGATAACTGTAGTTTCGGACAACGCTAGGCAAGTCTTATTCCTCTGGTAGCCCTGTTCCAGTACCCCTGTTCTATCGACTCCACAAAAATCCTTACTCCACCAATCTCCTCACGATATGAAGAAAATCAGAGAAGAGTTGGGAAAGGGTCCAAAGGGATACCATATTACAATTAAAGGTTCACTGTTGTTAAGGTATAATTGGGAAGCTATACAAGAGCAGCCAAAATCGTACAGGGCCTAGACCTGTTGAAATGAGCAAGCCAAAATTTCTTCCTAATTCATGCCCACAGAGGGAGTTTTGGAAGGTTCCTCCCAGAAGTCAGAGGCGGCCGCTTCCCAGAACCCAGCGCATCACAAAAAGGTTCGAAAACGAGAGCGAATCACCGTCAGACTAACAAGTGATGAAAGCTGGATGAATGGAGTAGGACTTGAGGGGCATATGAGTGAGACCGAGAACAATGTCTGAGCAAAGACGTAAAGAGTAAACGCATCCCAAAAATTGTTTCCTCTCCTCTTCCCTCGATCAATTATGGGAGAGCTGTTGCTGATGGTTCTAACCGGCCATCACTGGTCCTTGCGCTGACCGTGGTTGCTATCTTCATTGTTATTCAATTACAACAATTGTGAGAAGGGGTCTCACAAGGCTAGCGATTTGTGGGCAAAACTCCAGTCTCGGGCGGGACTCGAACCCGTACTTGTCCTTTGTTCTACTTACTTGTGAGAAGGGGTTCATGCCAATTAACTCTAGCCTGCAGTTGAATGAGTGAGGCATCTCAAACGAAATGAACTCTGAGGTCTTTTACTATTTGATATTGAGAGTTCTTACCATTTATAACCACAGAATAGTGAACTGGAATGATATGATTAACAATTCCTTCTTTTATTTGAGCTGATTCTTCAGTTCGCTAAGCATTCCCACGCGATCTTGATGACTCCTTAGTTTTCTTCAAACTGTTTACAGTTCTTGTAGGAAACACCCTTGTATAACATTTCCATGGGTAAAGTATGAGTATTACACCTTTTAAAACACACCCACAGACTAAAGCTGAAATCAAGAAAAATTGTTTTAAATCTTCAAGTGTTTCTGTCTTTTTTTTTACGCTGTTTGAACAATGGCTCATCTCGAGAGTGCTCGGGATTACCGAATTGTTGAGAGGTATAGTTGACTTTGAGGAGTGCATTCCATACGACGACGTCAACGACAACATTGTTGGTGGGTGGTATGGAATGCCAACGTGGAAACTCAACTACACCGGATCGGGTGCGGTTACAATACTTCCACATGAGGCATCCCCGGGTGCGGTTGGGGTCTCAGTCACTGAGGAGTTGAAAAATCACAACAAACTACAAATTCTCTTTGATGGATCAACCTGAATAACTGTGTGCAGTTCACTCTTCTTCAGTTCTTCGTAAATTTGGAACCCGGTTTCCGGTAAAAGTACAAAGATACTTTGATCAATACTATTTTCAAAGTGAATAGCCCAATCGAAAGCTGAGAGGCTCAACTTCAAATTGGGAAAAATGATGCCGGAGACATGTCTTGAAGAGAGTTCTCCTGAGATCGCAATGCCCGGAAAGCAAGTACCCGGGTTCAGGCCCTGCCCGGAGACGAAGCTTTGCCCACAGATTGTCCACCTTGTGGGGTTTTTGCATCGCTCATTGCGGCAAAAGAACACAAAATAATAAGGACCTTTCGTGAATTTCTCCCTCAAATACAGGAAACAAAGGTTCCGAGCTAATGATGTATGACACCCTTCGGATCTCCCTACATATGCCAGTCTACGCGCACTGTCCGGGTGAATTCAGTAGCCCTCTTATAATGACGTTGAAGCAGTAAATTTTTCATCTGCTCCCTTTGAAGTACGTACTGAAAACCAAGCAATGACTTGTGATTGAACTAATCCTCCCTTTCCTTTCCTCTTTCCCCATTATCCGTAGATACTATAGATAGATTGATTTTTTCCATTTCTACTGAATACTGCCACCGTGGTTACCGAGGAGTACTGGCAAGAGGCGCCCACCACCACCTGCATTGTCCGAGCTTTGAGCATTCCCGATCGAATCTGACCCTGATCAGGAAAAACCTCCATCTCATCTGAAATCGTGCCGAAGGTTTAACAGACTGGTAATAATGACCCCAACTACCTACCCAATAGGCTGAATAGCTCCTGAGTAAGCGACTTTTTGAGTTAAAGCGAACCTTAAGAGGGAATTGACTGATTGGCACTGGGAAGATCTATCCAAGGAAGTATTCGAATCATTGAATTCCCAAATCCATCCTTTTTTCATTCTGGCAGTGGTACATAATTTAGATTTTACTATATACTTGTTTACGTTTCGTAAACAACGCAGCTTAAAGGGACGCAAGCTTACAGACCATTCTGGTTACTTCAGTACATTTGTACATCTGAACCCTTGGGACGTTCGGCTTCGTCGTTTTTTTTTCTCAGAAGTAGAGTCTTAAAGTTGAAGAGACTACAGCCTACTAGAGAAAAAAGCCTCTGTACCAGCTCAACGGTAATTTTCCTTCGATCAGTTCATTGCTTGTCCTTATTCGGGTACGGGCACTGTCAGAATAAGGTCCGGCTGGCAAAATGCTGCTTCAAGACTGCGAACAGCACAGCTCATCTGGCGGTATCGAACTAAACGATCTGCTTCCTGCTGGAGCTACCAGGCCACGCACCGTACTCACCTAACCGGTTGCCATCCATCCGGCTCTTCCATTAATTCCGAACACTGGATCACTTCCTAGGCATGATGAAGAAGTTTCACGTCATCAGCCATTCTAGTCAAGAATCAACTGGTTGGTTTGAGCCACCACCGATGAATGACGAGTTTTTCGAGTGTTGTATCAAATTCCAGCCACCGAAGTAGCAAAAATGTGTCGACGTATTATTTGGTTAGTGTTTGTTGAACTTTTTCGAGTATGTCTCGTTTAACTTAGGTTTTCTTCTTTGGGGGAAAAACTCATTTCTCCCAGTGCTACTGTAATACCTGCTACGTGTAGCCAATCCTTTTTCCAGCTAGAAAAAAAACTTTTAAAAGCCAAATATTTGTTGTCGAGGTATCGTACACATGTGTTGAGTGAAAAGCTTTTATCAAACAGCATTCATTGTACAAGAGGGAAATCGACCACACCACTCACATACACATACACCACACGAGTGGCTTAACGATGACGAACAATTGGACACAAGGAAACAAGTCGCCAGTTGCTGGCGCGTTGGGCAAACAGCTACAGCGGCTCTGAGCCATGCTCATCGCTGAACAAGAACAACTGCAAAAGGTGATCGCACCGGGGATCGTCGTAGGTAGACAAGGGTGACACATAGGCCACCCACATTAGTCACTAAATTGATCAGAGCGCCTTTTTGGAAGAGGCCTTTTCAACTCCGATCCGGTACTGTAGTACACCTTTGCTCTTATGAATCAGATAGTCCAGTCGAATATTTGACCAAAGATATCGGAAGAAGAAATCGTAGTTCGTCTCGGATTTGTACCCATATGGAGTGTCCTTCAGTGGTTCGAGGACCTGAAAAGTTTCCTTTTTGGGTATCGAAATTAATGAGTGATTTATAACGAGAATTGATGGATGGAAGTGAGTAGGAAAACGGTAGTACAGATAAGGAATGAAAAGTGGCAGGCCATCGAGAAAACGTCCGAATGTCGATTTGAGAAGGCAATGACTATAGCCTGAGGTCGAGCCGAGTAAGGATGATTCATAAGCAAATGGGGACCTCTAGGAGGGGATGAAACTGGAGACAAGTATGAGCAGTTATGGATTAGGGAGTAATGAATCGGAGAGGAGGGGAAGAAATCTGCGGAGGAACGAACCTTCTTGATCGCCTGAGTTGCTTCCATCAAATGGTAGTGCGGTATTTTAGTGAAGAAAAAGTGGTGGGCTACGTGACCTGAATTTCCAGAATTAGGTGAAAATTATTTGTTACTACTCAGAAAAGTTTTGAGTAGTAAAATTCAGGGAATAGTTGCAAGAGTTTTTGCGCTTACAACATATTCCCATAAAATTTTGTTTTTACTGTTTAAAATTGATTCTTCGGATGAGTTATTGATTCTATCGGGAACAAATAACTGGAACCCCAAGGGCATCATATAGTTCTAATTGATAGAGTGTAAGGAAAAATTAGAGGGGCCAAACTAAACAAAAATTTGGAGCCCCTCCAATCGAAACGAAAAGTGTCGCGACCAAATCATCGGATCGGGTTACTCTATAATCTGGGACTTTTCGATTTTATATTCGCAATGGTAATTTGAAACCCCAGTCACTCTTCCGAGAGACTATCTCTCGAAATGAAAACTAAACTTCTCAGCGTCTTCTATGGAATGCGCCACGCATTATACTTCCATTCAAAATCGCAGTCACAATAAAACGCTCCTGTGGCTTGTGGGGACCAATCCCGATTAGCGCTCTTATGACTGGAGCCGACAGTAATTAAGGAATGGGAGGTTAGTGGGTTGTTTGAGGATAAGCCTCACGGAACGTTTCTCTTAGGAAACCGATTTATCGGTGCCTCAAATGAGATCAGTTGTTTTTTAAATTGACCTCTCAGGTCACTTGAATGAACAGCACTAGTGTGGGAGAGCGGTAGCGCTGCCTAGTTCACAGGCTAGACTCCACAAGTCATCGATTCTAGAAGGAATTAGGGGTCAGGGCGCATCCCATAAATGGGACTGATCAAGGCCAAAAGACACATCCTTTATCTTTTAATTACTGAGTACCCTTGAATTTTCGAAGGCTAACCGTCAGTTATGTGATGCATGATGGTGTCAAGTCCGAAGCCATACACTCTATCGATGGTCTGAGTTTGACCACGAACGAATGACCACTCGTCGGGCTCGTAGACCTGAAACGAAGGGAGCTGAATCTCGTTAGCGGCACATACTTCGCCTCGCATTCCACACAGGCAATCATTAGTCTTTTCTAAAACAAACAAACTTCAGGCTCTCCACTTCACAACACTGTGATATGGAGCCGAATAGCCGAATAGCTGCCATGCCCTTACCTCGATTTCCTCATCCTGATGCTGTAAGTAGGTGATAATCACCAGTATTAGACCCTGGAAGGTCAATGGTATGTAGTAGTATTTCATCCAGTTGTAGACAGAATAGTCACACATCCAGAAGACCACCTGAAGGAAGGTCTTTATGTCTCACTCTTTTCAAAAAATGTTCTAACTACTTACCGATGCGCAGAACAAACACGCCATGCCGGAAACGACGCATTTAATTCGGTCGGAAGTGGTGGTGAATAGGCGAGACCATGGCCAGAAGTGAGAGCCATCCGGAAGACCGAAGACTGTGTAGATCGGATTCCATCTAAAATCACGAATAATCCTTCTGATCAGTTGACTGGTCATCGAAACGGACGCCACGACCGGTGCCGTTTGCGTCAGGTGTTAAGCTACCGGCTTCTCAATCTTTCAAGCGGATAATCTTTTGAACGTCAAACAAACGCTAAGCACTTGTCGCGACTAAGCGCCCAGGCGCTCCGTCCGTGCAGCATTGCCGTAAAGCGGTGATTAGATGGGAGGCTACTGTTCCAGGGGATACTGTTCCCTAGCGGCTAGTCGATCGAGAGAGGCTGTCCACTAAGGCAGTAAGTGGGCTATTGATGGTGATCAGAGGACTACTAGGCCTGATGAAGGAATAACCCACTGTGTTATCCAGTGTGTTACAGTTCAAGGACAGGTAGAATGGGTACATTCGGAACAAAAGGAGAGCACTGCCCATCTAGAATTCAAATCATTTCGCGATACTTGTGTGAGATTGACTTTTTGAAGGAAAAAGGAATTGCGAATGAATTTCTGGTGGAATTTTTCAAGGGTCCGTTGCCCCCTCCCCCTGTTTAAAGCCATTTCCAAAATCAGGCTCACAAGTAGAGCTCAACTATTCACTGATATTCTCCAATTGGCACATAGTCACGAAGGTAGGAGGAGGTTTACTACCAATGGAGCGCTTTACAGCGCGCATGAACCTGGATCGAATCTTGTGTTGACTCGCTCTGAAGTTAACTAAGCCCCCGTCCCTCCAGGGTGGATTTATTTGTATCAGACCCGTCTGGAAGGGTAAATCAGTGGTTCTCGAAGCGGCTGGCCAGTGCAAGCTACTGCATAGGCTCTATACCATTCAAACCATCACTACAATTCTGAGTGGAAGTCGAAGCAGGAACGCATCCCAATAGAGAATGCACAACACCGAAACACTTGATCCTTCCAAGACTAGCAACAAAAAATTACGTTTTGGTAGTGGATTTTCCAAATGACGGACTTGTGCTTTTTCGGGGTGCCCCAATTAGAAAGAAATTATTCGCGATTTCACTTTTGCATGACCTCATATCGGTGTAGCCAAAAGAATGCCGTGGTAAGACTTTTCTCTGATAAAACTACAGATAACAATTGGACAATTGGAATTTGACGGGCAAACAGATCACTATCAATAAGATTTCCCGAAGTAGACTACAAACTGTATTCACTGTTCAGAAAGCAAATAAGCGGACAGAAATGACCAGAGTTGGCATCGCAAGGCCGGATCTTTGGTGAGGGTGGGATTCCTTACCAAAGATAGAACCAAAGATAGATAATGATTATTAAGGGTGGCCATCGGATATTGGCAATACTTCTTAAAATTTTTTGTACTGTTACAATAATTTTTCAAAACATATCCCTAAGCAGTGAAGAGCGCACTTGTACCTGGAGTGAACCATGACAGGGAATATTCCACTTAAAGGTGTGACGGGAAAGTTTAACCCATCGCTCTTTATGTTCTTTGTCGTCATAGAGCACGGAAACCTACCAAAGCCTACCAAAGGAAACCAACCTAGAAACCGTAGCCCTGAAGGGCCACCAGGTTCTCCGATCACAACGAGTGGATGCTAGATTTTCTTCACCTGCGATAACTTCTCACCTTCACCATTGACTACTTTTGCTGCGGAAACTAGTTGGAAAGCAGATTTAACTGGCAGAGGGCACGATAAATAGCTTTTTCTGTACCAGATCAGAAATTCTAAATTCACTAAAGTTACCTGATCCATCCAGATAATGGGAAGCATGCGAAGTACTTCTCAAGGGTGGTTCGCTCGTTATACATCTGCTCAGTCACCCATGGATGACCTTTGTCCTTTTCAAGGTGGGATGTGTACTGAAACAGGAGGTTTCAAGAACTTTTACACGCTACCGGTTCCTTGTCAACGTGACTTCATGAAAATTAAGATACCTGGTGATGTTGTCGATGACTTTTCTGCCATGGCCAAAATGGTGCCAAAATAGGTGCATGGGCGATATGGCCACATAAATCGTTCACCCATTCATACTCCGAAAACGAACCATGTCCACAGTCATGACCGACCACGAACAGGGCACAGCCACAGAATCCGAATGCCCAACACCTAAATGACAACATGATTGACAATTAAAGGCACAGTTCACGATAGTTTTGAGGTACGTTTTTATTCGAGAATCGTAAGTATAGATTAGGAATAGTTCGCAGGTGGTGAAGAAAACGAGAGAATCCGCCGATTTCGAGGAAAGTATAGCTCCTCAAAAGAAGGGAAAATGGAGGTTGGACAAGGTTACCATGAGACGGAGACAACATGGGTGTATTCGGACGAGTTATTACGACGATTTCAGTTATGACAGTTGCACAAAGAGCTGACAACATCAAGCCAGAAGTGTGCAGAACTGTCTTTCAATGCTATGGGTCATGTCAAGTTTTTTGAACTTCCTACATGAGTGTCCTTGCGATCGATGCAGCCTCTACAATGCCGGTGAACTCGTCCGAGGATACACATGGGCCAATCTTTGAGCCTTTATAACTTCCTAACTAGGCCGTTCCCGACCTAATAGTAACAGATGTGGTATGTATATGCGGGGCCTCAAATTCGTCCTGTGTGGGAAGCTCAGAAAACATTTTTATCGTGAACTGATCCTCTGATGAGTAATTCTACCGAAAGCCTTACAAGGCACAAGACTCATAACCTTTGGAATTGGTGTCAACGTAATTGGGAATATGGTTAGTTTACCCAGGAGAATTAGTTTTTTAAGGTAACAATGCCCGTGATATAGCCCCCCAATCATCTTAGAGAAGTGTAACAAGAGCTTCGAATACTAGGTCCTTGAGCTTAAATTTCCTCGGTTGGTAACACACTTACCATGTTAGGTATCCAAGCATACCGCATACAAGCCGGCGAGGATAACCAAGTCCTGAAAAAGGCATCTCGAATAAATCACTGATTAAAATCGCTTAATCTCGAAAAAAATGCCCTAAAACCTGACCATGACCAGGTAGCTGACGGATGTAACCAGGCTCTTCTCGAAGCATTTTGGGGGAATCGCTTTTCGTACCTCATCGACGGTTGGAAGCTTCGGTGGAGGCTGAAAATATGTGTGAATATAAATAATATGAAAACATGTAATATGCCGAATGAATGCCTAAATATTATGCCGAAATCATCATAGTAACACATAACTGGACATTTTTACCTACACGAGGACGGAAACAGCATCTATGGGTAGCTGCTTCTGATTCCTGAAGGATCATTCCCACAGTCTAGTTGTGGCTTCCTCTTCAAATACAGAAAAATCGCACTTTTTT